AGAGGCCAACTCACCATTACACAGATAATGAGGGTCCATTACCACGGGATGTGTGTCCTTCCACTCATGCCTTCTGTCTCCAATTCACACGAAGGCCCTGGAAACACCAGGTCCGCCCCGTCCTGTGAGACTGAGTCCACTGCTGTCCCACCCTCTGCACAGCTGCCTGAGGCTGAGGAGGGGCAGCCTGAGGATCTGAGGTCTGGGGACCTGGGCCAGACCTGAGACCTGCTTTGTCTCTGGTCCTATTCGGGCTGGAGAAGAGTGTGACACAAATGGGAAATGAGATTTTTGTCTCACTTCCCCGCTGATCTGTGTCACTGTGAGCATTGCCACTGCTGTCCGCTGACTGACAGTAGTAGTCGGCCTCGTCCTGGGCCTGGGCCCCGCTGATGGTCAGGGTGGTTGTCTTCCCTGAGCTGGAGCCAGTGAATCGGTCAGGGATCCCCGATGGCCTCTCGCTATCTTCATAAATGACCAGCACAGGGGCCTGGCCTGGCTTCTGCTGGTACCAGTAAGTGTATTTCTTATCCAGTAAATCTCCGGTCGTCTCTCCCAAGGCCACTGACAAAAAATCCTGGCCGTCTCTCCCAAGGCCACTGACAAGGGAGACGACTGGGTCAGCTCGTAGGAGGCCACAGAGCCTGTAAGAGAGGAGGGGGAGGAGGCTGAGGGTAAAGACCAGTCTCCAGGAGGTTCAGCCTCGGGGCTGTGCCTGGACTGAGCTCAGGGTTTGGGGCAGGTCCAGCTGAGGGTCCCCGTGGGGGCTGAGCCTGCAGGCAGGGCCTGTGAGGAAGCACCTGTGCAGAGGCTGAGGAGCAGGAGCAGGGTCCAGGTCATGGCGGTGGCTCCTCGGGTTCTGCCTCTGTGCCCCCAGCTGGGTGTGGTCTCTGGGCCTCTCTTATCCTCCACCAGGGGCTCCTCAGGCAAATCACCCTCCTTCCCTCCTTGGTCTCCCTGCGCAGGTGCAGTGGAGCAGAGTCCAGGGGAGCCCAGGGAGCATTTGAATTCAAGCCCTCACACCAGGCCTGTACCCAGTCTCCCCACGGTTCTCTGGGGTGTTAGGAGAGAGACTGCTGACCCCAGTACCAGTCCGTCATCCTCTCTAGTGACCAGATCATCCAGGGCAGGTGAGTTTATAGGGACAGGGGTGAGGCTGGGGTGAGACAGGCCACATTCCATGATCACACACTGTGAGATGGGTCACAGACCTTCCAGGATAATTTTTTTCTGATGTTAATTAGGAAAGACATAGAGTTTTTTGGGAAATGTAGAGATTTACAAAATATCCTGATAACACCAGGGGCATGATTCATTAAAGGAAAGACTAATGGACCACCCTGGACAACACATTATGTTGCTTTGCAGTTTTGTTGAAAGAGGATGAAAAGGAGAAGAAAGTGAGAGAAAATATTTGCAAACTAAATATCAAATGAAAAACTACTCCTAGAGTAGCAAAAGAGCTCTAAAAACTGAACAGTGAGAAGATGAACAGATTGAACACATTTGGAAACAGGTCAGTGGTTTCTGAACACGAACAGACAGGTCCTGGAAGAGACAGCAAATGGCAACAGAACATGGACAGATGCTCCTCAGTATCCAGCAGGGAAATGCAGGTAAAGATATGGGGGAAATCTGTGTGCACCTGTCAGCTGGTAAAGTAGACAAGGTGACAAGCCCCAGAACGGCAGCACGTGGGGACACATGGTCACCAGGGACGAGGCGTGTGAAGTGGCTCCGACACGGGACAGAGTCTGGCAGCTTCTGACAGCAGCAAACCCGTGGCTGGCACACGGCCCAGCGATCCCAGTTCAGGGCAATCATTTCAGACACTGCAAACGGACGTCCACAGAGAAACTGCACACACGTGTGTGTTCCCGGACCCTGGGGTGCAGTCCCCCAAGGTGAGAACCTTCCAGGCGTCTCTGCACAGGTGGGTGCTCAAACAGACTGGGACCACCCAGATCACGGAATTCTGCTCAGCAAGGAAAAGGAACCCACTCCATACAACAGCAATTTGGGGGAATCTCAGGGAAATGTGAAGTAATGCATGTCAATCCCAGAAGGCTAACTACTGTGAGAGTTATTTTGTCACTAGACTGTTTCTGCAAAGAAAAGGATTTAGAAATGAAGGAGTGGTTAGTGGTGAAGGGTTAGTGCAGGGAAGGGCACCCTGGCAGGGGGAGGTGGGTGCTGTTATGAAAGGAGAACAGGAGGGGCCCAGGGGAGATGAGACCCATCGGTCCTGAAGGCAGTTCCACACTGCCCCCTGCTGTCCGCAGGGTGAATGTCATCCTACAATTTTTAGTTCCTCCAGTGGAGTGAGTGTTGATTACTTTCAACCCTCAACCAGTGCTGTCTCTTGGTGAGTGTGTTACCTGTGGCCCCCATTTAATGTCAGCCCAGTCCCTCCTCCTGTCTGATGAGCAGGGAGCCCTCACTGGGAGGGTACGATTTTCCCAGAGTCCCCCAGACACTGATGCTGACTCAAGACTCCAATCCAGGAGCTGGACCTCAGAGCCTCACCTGTGAATCCTGTCCCTGCCCGGTCCCTCTCCATGTCCCTTGTCCTGCTCCTCCCCTGTCTAAGGTCCAGGCCTCCTGAGCCCCTGAGTCACTGTCCTGCCTTCTGTACCCAGGTGCTCTGAGCACTCAGGTCGTCACTGTGGGGGAATCCACATCTCTTGACATTAGAGTCTGTGTGTGCACAGAGTGCGGGACACTGAAATATTTCCCTGTTTTCAAAACCTCAGTGTAAGAAAAATGTAAAATACATCAATATTGTATATTTAGTTCATGTTAAAATGATAATATTTTCAAGTAAGTCAGTTTAACAAAATCTACTATGAAAACTAATGCCACTGGTTTCTTCCCATCTGTCAGTGTGGCTCCTGGAAAACTTTAGGTCACCTGTGTGGTTCACAGTTTTATTTCTGTTGGACAGGAGGCCCTGCAGGTCACTGCATCAGTCACTTGCTTTGAAATAGGAGAGAGAACTTTCTGGGACCTTAAGGAGCAGACACATCTTAGCACTGAGAGCAAGTTGTCCCCTGGGGTCGGTGAGGTTTGGTCTTTGACCTTTTACCCCAGGTACATTAGGATGTGGTCACACCTGCTGGGATCAGGAGACACAATTATAAAGTTCAATGCCACTGCTGCTCCTGCACGGAAATAGGTCGCCATCTGTCCAGGGGCCACATGTGCCTGGGAGAAGAGAGAAGTCAGGACACAGTGGGCCCCAACCCTGATGAGAGGGACACATATGGGCAGGGGTGAGGACAGGGTCAGAACCGCAAGGAGCCTGGGAGGGAGGGAGAGCAGGTCCCCTGAGATTCACAGATGGTGCCTTCCTGTGGTGACTGTCACTGAGCTGTGAGTGGCAGGTGGACAGGAGTGAAATCCTCACAGGGTGGTCTTGGGGGTGACGGTCACACAGGCAGGTTCTCTGGCCCACCCTGCCCTGCTGCAGCCATGTCTGCATCTTAGTGGGTCTCAGGGGACCTGTGTGCTCTGGTCTCAGTCACCATGGAGACTCTCACTTCCTCCTGCTGTGTCTGCAACTCCTTCCTAGGACACAGAGGACTTGATGCTGAACTGTCCAGCCCTCACCAGACTGAGCTTCATTCAGGTACCAGAACCTGTGATGTCGTGGAGAAAAGCATTTTACAAACAGACATTTACTTCAGTCCCACGGGTGGTGTTTGGAGAGAAGGTAGGATCCCTTCCTAACCTTGGTCTGTGTCATTTTCTGCTTCATTATGAACAGATTCTGTTGCTCCGAAAGCAAGTGCTGAGGGTTTTCCTTGGTAGCATCTCCTGGGCTGTCAATTTCATCCAGTGCATTTTGAATCCCCTTTATTACAGCTTTTATATCAAGTTTTCCAATTTGGATTTTTGACCTCTGTGTCCTCCCTTGCTGTGTCAAATCTTTCATCCTCCCTTATGATCAGAGGAAATACCGTTAGAGTCACATTTTCAGTGTCCTAGTCCCCAAACTGTGTCACCTGGGCAATTGCAGGGCCATTCTGGACAAACTGGTTTTTACATTCATAACAGTCCTGTTTCCCTGATTGTTCGAAGGAACGTCTGACAGGGTGTCAGGCAACGGGACTGATTCCTGTTGGATCTGGAACAGGTGTGTGTCCCCCTGTGTCAGGGATTCCATTTGGGGTTCAGTGACTTACCTGGTCACAGGTCCATCCTGTGTCCACCTGCTCTGACACTTTCTGAGATGCCACCAGAGCAGACTAAGTTGGGACTAAGTTTCCCACTGTGGGACACACCTCTTCTGACTCGTCCACCTGATGCCTGAACTGGGAGCTTCCCCCCGACTGGGCACAAGCACTGCAGGCTGGTGTGCTGACCTGTGACCGTCCCCTCCTGTGTCCTCAGGTGCCTCCCTCCTCAGCCTCAGCTGGTTTCCTCCCTCGTGTGCTCACCAGTCTCTCAGGAACGTTTGCAGACGCCCAGAGTGTCACCTTTGTGGGGCCCTCTCCTCTCCCACACGCTCCCCTTTGGCTGTTATTTCCTCTCTGGGGCCCTGCAGACTCCCTCTGACACAGAGAACCTACTCAGGGGGGTGTCAGGGGTCTCTCTGGAAGGAAGCTCAGAGGCAAGACCTGGGAACTGAGAAGCGGTGACAGCAGGGGACTCATCTGGAGGCTGCTAAGTCCTTGTGACCTGAGGCAGGTGCTTGGATCTTGGTATCGGGCTGTGACTAGGCCTGTGTCACACTCTGGGAAAGGAATGACCCTGAGGGAGGCAATTCTCTGCCCCGTGGGAACTTCCCAGTGAGGGCACAGCCGTGGTCACCTGGCTCCAGCAGGGGTGCTGGGTGTGCAGACACTGGTTGGCCCCAGTCAGAGTCCTGGGTGGCCACGGAGCCTGGGGCCAGCGGAGCTCAGCTGAGCTGGCAGCTCTGGGCATGAATCCAGAGCATTTTGCCAAGGAACACCAGTCACCATGAGGCAGAAATTCGAGGACTGTTACCTGTGGACACAGGTTCTGGCAGTCTGTCATTTCTCCTGCCCTCTTTTCAGAATTGAGTCAGTGGCCCAGACACAGCAGGCAGCCTGGTCCTGCTGCCCTGAAGCCACTCCTGACCCACCCTCTGCACAGTTGCCTGAGGCTGGGAGGTAAGGCCACTTAGAGACCTGAGAAATGAGATCTGTTCCAAAGCTGCTCATGGCTTTGCCTGCAGTCCATGTGGGGCCTGAGGGGAGTGTGACACAGACTGAGGTTTTTGTCTCACTTCCCCACCTGCCTGTGTCACCGTGAGTTTTACTACTGCTGTCCCACATTGCACAGTAATAGTCAGCCTCGTCCTCAGCCCGTGCCCCACTGATGGTCAGGGTGCTGGTGTCCCCTGAGTCAGAACTAGAGAATCGGTCAGGGATCACTGAAGTCCGGTTCTTGTCAGCATATATGAGCAGCATGGGGGCCTGGCCTGCCTTCTGCTGGTGCCAGGAAGGATAATATTTTCTTATGAGCTCTCCCTGGCAGGTGATCCTGACTGTCTGTCCCGGGTTCACAGACACTGCTGAGGGCTGAGTCACTTCAGAAGAGGCCACCAAACCTGTAAGAGAGGACAGGAGAGGTGAGTGTGAGGATGAGGGTCTCCTTCTCAGATGGCACACACCCTGCAGCGTCCCCTGTGCTCAGCAAGGTCAGGGCCAGGTCGCTTCTGGTTTTTGTGGAGGCTTAGCCTTGGGAGTCAGCACCTGTGCAGAGAGTGAGCAGGGGGAGCAGGAGAGGGGTCCAGGCCATGGTGGAGACGCCCCAGGATCTTCCTCTGACCCACACCTGAGGATATGGCTTCCGGGGCCTGTCTTATCTTGTGTAAGGGGCTCCATGCAAATCCACTTCCTCCCTCTTGTGGCCTTGCTGAGTGGCACCTGCTGGGCAGAGAGCAGCTGGGGCCAGTGGAGGGGTTAAAGTTGGGTCCTCATGTCCAGGTCTGTGCCTTGTTTGCTCAGAGCTCTGTGTGGTGTTGAGGGGACAGTGCTGACCCCTGACCAGCCCCTGCTCTCAAACTTGGGTTGAGTCTCCTCTCTGGTCTTGGGGAGAACCCTCAGTCCCCTCCAGTGAGGAGATCACAGTGCAGGGTGCGGTGGGGGTGCTGGTTACAGGCGGTGTGAGAGGCTGGAATTTGCTCCAGGACACAGTGACACTCGTCATGTGTCTCTGGGGGAGTTTTCATTACATTTTAGAAAAATGAAAAATCTTTCCCATTTTGGTCTTGGTAAGAGTTTGTAGATTTCATAGACATGCTTGATATGTAAAAGGATAGAAAATCAATGGAAACCCTTTAAAATTAAAAACTTTATTCTACAAAACTCTTTTTTATGGAGTTAATTAAAGAAAATGATAAAGTGGGAGAAAAATACTTGGCAATCAGTATCCATCAAGGAAGTATTTGTGTAAAGTTATGAAATGAATTAATACACAAAGCCAATAGCCCTGACTGGGGGCTCAGGTGGAGCGTCTTCCAAATGCACCAGGGACTCGGGTCTGACCTGGATGAGGTGCAGGTGCGAGTCAGCCAATGAGGGCATGGCAGGGCGGAGCAACACAGTCACGCTTTTCTCACGTCATTAAAAAAGTTTAAAAAATAATCAAAGCAAACAATATTCAATTAAAAAATGGGCAAATTACACACAGTTGAAGGAAAAATATACAGATGTCAAGAAAACATAAAAATGTTCATCAGTAGCCCCCAGGAAGGGAAGTTAAAACCATAGGGAGACACCTGCACCCCTGTCAGAACGGATCAGACTGGAGTGAAATCGGGGCAACACCAAACCCTGGTCAGGGAGTGAGAAGTGGGTCAGTCACTCAGTGGCGGTAGGAGTGTCAGACGGCAGAGCCGCAATGGAAAAACAGCCCTGTGCTTAGTATGAAGCTGAACATGTAATTATCGTACAACCAGTCACTGCATCACTGGGCATTTACTTCAGAAAATTAAAAACTTATGTTTACATAAGACCCATACACAAGTGTTACAGCCCCTGACTAGTCACCTCAGGCTGTTTCAAACAAATACCACCAGTTGCTTAAACTTGAAGTCAGAGAGAGACAGACAGACAGAGAGACTCTGGTCACTGATCCCACCAGACCACAGCCCCTCCCATGACTCATCCTTTGGCTTTTATTACTTCCTTAGAGTCCCCGTCCCCACACACAGCTACACTGGGAGGAAGGACTTCAAGGTACGAACTGTGGAAGACACAGTCACTCAGTTCACACCAGCGCCCTTACACATACGAGCCCCAAACTGAAAATAATTCAGATGTCCTCTGGGGTGACGGTTAAACAGACTTCGGTACTGTGCTCATTCCCAGGGTTTTCTGGTTCATCCCCTGCTGCCATCGTGTGGGGGTGACATCTGTACTTCAGACTGCCTCATGGCTTCACTCTTGGGCTGGTCTGACCACAGCCAAGATCAGAGGTGACATCTGTCTGCATAACCTCAACCCACTATAGAGCCTTAACTGTAGTGGTGACAATATGAGCCTGAGATCAGAGTCGTGCCTCAACCCGGTGATAGTTTGAAAGGATCAGAACCTGAATAAAATTCATACCTTTCTAACAGTGCTCAGAACTTTTAAGACTTATGAGTTGCTGTTCTTGGTGAGAACTCTTGAGACTGGTGGGAAGTGTCCCAGTGTCTTCTGTGTGCTCCAGTGCCAGGGGCAGCTCCAGTCCTTGAAAGGTGTGACAGTTACAGTGTTAGCACTAATGGGGTGGGCTGGGCAGGAATGAACTACCAGGACCTGTGATGGAAAAACAGGCCAGTTCTGCAAGAACCCAGCCTGAGAGAGTCAGTCAGTGTGTTATGTCATCAGTGTCAGAGGTGAGAGTGTGGAAAAGTTACTCCTGTTTCTACAGGTGTGAGTGGTGGTTAATGACCCCATGTTTACCACAATTAAATTATTTTCATTACTAATAAATGGACAGATTATTCAAAACATGCATTATAATGATCCCCCTGCAAGGTAGAATTCTGCATGCCCAGGCCCTCCCAGTCTGCAGGAGGCTCTGACAGGTGGTCTCTGCTGCCCCCTGGTGGCCTCCCCACACTGGCTGCAGGGGGAGCAGGTGTGTGCTCTGTCCAGGTACAGAGTCTGAACTTACTGTTCAGGTCGTAACTCCCTGATCCAGGGACTGAGGGTCTAAGGGGGGGATTGCTGTTTCCTCCATAACCACTGCTGTCCTCAAGACCAGGCACAGGCGGCTCAGAACACCCATAAAAGTATGAACAGGCTCATTGGGAGGAGGAGAGAGCAGGGCCAACCTGAAGCATCTCAGACATGTCCCTATGGTTGTGGTTTCATTCTGGGCTCTTATGGGGAACAAAGGATTTGAGAACTGCCTCTCACTGATGCCATTGCTAGTGCAGGTTAAAAACAGGGCTCTGGTGACATCTGCCCCAAAGACTGAGACAGGAGACACTCACCCAGCAAACAGTGGTTCAGCCCCACTGTGTCTGCCAGACACTGCGTCCTGGGTGAGACTTGTGAACGGGACCAGTCCTGCCTCACAGGTGCAAGTGTGCACATGGGAGCACACAGTGGACACGCTGGTGTGGGTGGCACAGCACAGTCACCATCACCTACTTCCGGTATGTTGTCTTTTTTTCCCAAGCCTGACAGTATCCATGTTTATTAAAGATACTTTCCATGAACAATCCTGGGGTTTCAGGCAGGATGTGGACAGACAACCGTTCACTGTGCACAACAACCCTCACCCTCCGTCCTCAGTGCACTGACCACCCAGAAAGTCGCTGTGACACCAGTGACGTCCTTGTCTGCTGCTCTGAACTGAGAGCGTTTAGAGTGAGGGTCCATGTCTCACATTGGCATGTTGTTTAGCAGCTTTTCACAAGCCGACCCTGACTGTCAGGCATGGCCAGGAAGAAAGTGGGAAGGACTCGGGACCTCACAGGGTGGTGAGTGTCTGCGGACAGACGCCCGTCGGGGCCCAGACTTGTTGCTGCAGGAGGAAAAGGGGCTTCTGTCTGCCCACGTCTCTTATTATCCTGTGCTTGTTTGCATCAAAAAACTTTCTAATGAAGAAAATAATTAGCAGAAATCAATCAATTAAGGAATCAATGAAAATAATTAAAGAGAAATAACTGTGCAGCTATTGTAGTATTCAGATAATTAGTTGAGATCAGAGGAATAAACAGGCAGGTCCTGTGTGGGAAGAGGCTGGAGGGGTCTCTCTGGAGGGGACCCTGGAGCTGCCATCAGGGTGGGAAGAGGGAGCAGGAGGAGGAAGTGAGTGTGGGGACAGCAGGGTCAGTGTCCTGGGGGGAGGGTGTGGTCTGTCTGAGCAGGAGGGACAGTGAGAAACTAAGGAGGTTATGGTGCAAACCAGGTCGGCCCAATGTGACCTGAATTTGTCACATTAAGGGATGAGGGGCAGGACTGACGTCACACTGAGCACACACACATGACCCAGGAGTCAGAGCAGCTGAAGTGAGACCCAGAGAAAGGAGGAGCCACTGATGTGACCCCTGTTCTGTGTCTGTGAGGTGAGTGAGCAGGTGACCTACCAGGACTGTCACTACACAGGGGCTGCCTCTTCCCTTCTGGTTTGCCCAGGAAGTCACACGGGACCTTCTCTCCTGATTCAGAGAATTCTGACAACACATCAGTCCTGCTGCTGAAATTACGACCTTGTGAGAAATGTCACATTGGACCTGAACTAGGTGTCAGTGAGACACCTGAGTTTATCATAACAGGTTCCTCTTCCTCTCAAACCTTAGAGCTAACTTAGTCATAACTTTACTTTATCATATATTATAAACCACAACATATATTGTTATAGTGTGTTTGCATTAAACAGTGATATCTGTAATGGAATTTAATAGGACAAAATGTTTCATATTTATCCCTGAAGTAACGATTCCTGACACCATGACACATTTCTCTGTGCAGATTCCCATTTCTCTGTGTCTCGGGCGTGTCCTCTGCTCTTTCTGGTTCAGAGCGTCTGCAGGTGTCAGTTCTCTAAGTTTCTGTACATCTGAGAAAGTCTTTCTTTCCTTCCTTTGCTGAAAGATATTTTCACTAGGTAAAGACTTGAAAGTGGGAGGGTTCGTTTTAGCTTTGTTGTTGCTTTTAGTTTTCTAGACACTCCGCCCCCCCCCCCCCCCCCCCCGTCTGTGCTGTTCCCAGAAAGGCCTCTGCCCTGATCCCTCTGCTCCGTCCTCTCTGCGGCCGGGAATCGAGTCTCTGAGGCTTTTGTGATTTTCTTGTTGACACTGGGTTCAGGAATTTGGTTGTGATGTGTGTTGATGTTTCCTGTGCTTGGGTTTTGATGGCATTCTTGGATTTGTAGAATCTCAGTTTTCACTGAAATTGGTACATTTTTGCCAAGTATTTCATCAAATAATTTTTCTACTTCCCCCAAAATGTGTCTGCTTGAAAGATGTGATCACATGACTTTGAGGCTCCCTCAATGCCCCCAGCACACTGACGCTTCTGTGCATGTTTATTCAATGAGGTTCTGTGTCCGTGTCTCACGTCCTCTCTGCAGTTTCTCCTCCACGTCATCTGTGACTCTCTTTCCTCTGTGGAGATGAAGCATATCTCAGTCACATCAAGGGTCATTGTGTCTCAGACGCAGCAATTTCAGCATCTACGTATTGGCTTGGCTGTGGTTTTTGTCCTTGTTTGAAATTACCACGCTCACGCATCCTTCTACACACCAGAACAAATGAAATATGAATTTACTTACTATCCCTGGCTACACATTCCACCATCTGTGAGATTTCATGTCCAGGATGACTGGTTGTTTTTGTTGCTTATCACAGGTGGTATTTTCTTGCTTCCAATCAGGAATATTTGATGTGATACTGGACTTGGTGAATATAATATGTCCTTGTTGGTGAACAACAGTTGTGTCCGGTTATTCTAGGTTATTGCAGATTCATTCGAGTTCATGCAAACAGTGTAATCCTTCATCAGTTGCGCTCACACGTCCGTAGGTGGGACCACAGCAGTGAGGAGTCAGGTGCTAATTTCCCACTTCGAGTCCCAGCTCTTTGACAGGACCACCGGTGTCCTGATTGGGACTTGTCCTGTTGGACTGTGGGACAAGGGTAACTTCTGACTGTGTGTGTGAGCTCAGCGGGTGTTCTCCGTGGTCTCTGCGTGGTTACTTTGGCCTCCAGAGGTTTCCTCACACAGTGTGGTGAGCAGACTCACCTACACTGGCAGTGAGTTCCCTGGAGGCTCACAGGGGATGGAGAACCGCATTGTAGGAGGGTTAGGGGTGATCTTTGTGGAGAAAATGTGAGAAGCAAGAGTGGGGATCTGCAATGTGGTGACATTTGAGAACTCAACTGGGAGTCCCTGTAAGGTCATTCTGACCCTGAGCCACTCTCTGTGAGGGGCATGACCTTGGGGGGGTCTGTCCGCCCCACGAACAGCACTTACCCGTGAGAACACTGCTGTGAGCTGCCAGGACCCAGCAGGGCAGAGAGTGTGCATCAGCCTTGAGGGGGGATGCAAGTGAGTGGATCCTGAGTCTCCTGCCAGGGTTTGCTCTATTCAGATCCCAGGCTTCCAGGACATCCTGAGGCTTCCTGAGCTCTGCTGAACTGGATAGTTCTGGGGACAAACCCAGAACAGGCAACCAATGAGGGGTCATGTAACCATTACAAGGGTATCCAGGGACAATTTGCAGGGGATGTGAGTACTGATGTGTGTCCTTCCACTCATGCGCTCTGTCTCCAACTCACACGCAGGCCGTGGAAACACCAGGTCAGGCACGTCCTGTGAGACTGAATCCAGTGCTGTCCCACCCTCTGCACAGCTGCCTGAGGCTGAGGAGGGAGCAGCCTGAGGATCTGAGGTCTGCGGACCTGGGCCAGAGCTGTTGATGGCTTTGTCTCTTATCCTGTTTGGGTCAAAAGAAACAGTGACACAGACAGGGAGGTGGGTCTTTGTCTCACTTCCCCATTGGCCTGTGTCACTGTGAGCGTTACCATTTCTGTCCCATGTTACACAGTAATAGTCAGCCTCGTCCTCAGATTGGAGGTTGGAGATGGTCAAGTAGCGGTCGGCCCCAGAGCTGGAGCCTGAGAAGCGGTCGGGGATCCCGTCCCCCTTGCTGTGGATTCCATCACCACCAACATACATCACATACCGAGGGGCCTTCCCTGCCTGCTGCTGCTGCCATGTAACAGGGTAGTCACTGTACTCTCTGCTGAGGGTGCAGGTGAGCTTGGCTGAGGCTCCCAGGGAGGCAGAAGCAGACGGGGGCTGGGTCAGCACAGGATCAGCACAGAGACCTGCAGACACAAAATACAGGGATGGTGCCCAATGCACCCAGACTGGACAGATGCTTGTTGAAACTGTTCTTGGAGAAAACCTGGACCCCCGAGTGCCCAGGGATGCTCTGACCTGTGGAGAAAACCAGGGGCAGGAGGTAGAAAGGAGCCCAGTCCATGGTGGGAGTGGCTTTCAGGAGCTCTGCCCTGAAGCTGCCCAGCTGGCACTGGCCAGGCCAAGCCCCTGTCTTATCCTCTCTCCTTGCAGCTCAAGAGGGAGGAGCATAAATGCAAATCTATTCTCCATTTCCCAACAAGTGTCTGTCTCAGCTCTATTCTGAGCCCTGAGCCTAACAGCCTCCTGCTGGTGATTTCCTGAGGTCAGAAGAAGGTCCAGGTGTGGGTTTCATTGTTAAGAGTTGATTTTACCCAATGGAAGTGTCTTCAAAGGAGTCTCGGTCATGCCCTTTGCACTTGAGCCCAACCAAGGGCACTTAACCTCTTAAGTTCCCCGAAGAGGCATCCACAGTGCCCCCTGGTGTCCACAGGGTGAATGTGATCCTACATGTGTAGCTAATGCATCACATGGCTACTTCTAAGAACTTAAAGGATGGTGAACCTTGATTAGTGTTTTAGATGCACCTCTCACCTGACATCATAGTAACCAAACATCAGAATAACCCCACATGATCTGTGGGTGCTGTGGGTCTCCTGACCAGTTGGAAGGTTCCTGTGAATGTCATTCTGGGAGATTTCACCTTCAAACCATGACCTGTGCTTGTGAGTTACACAAATATATACCACTGTGGGGTATAGAACGTAATTTAACTTCAATAAAATATTCCGTATGCTCTCTCTTTCTTCTGAATCTCTGCGCCAATCATCACATTACGACTTATGTGATGTTTATCAACATGATCTTCCTGCTGAGAGGGATACTTGCAGCAATATTGTTTCAAAAATTCAAAAGGAATATTGCCATTCATTACAGAGATTTTTTAAATAAAATGTGTTTGTAGCTCAGATTTATCTTTAAAATTATAACTATGTTTAGTATTGTGTGTGTAAGAATGCAAGTAGTGTGGACACACGGTATAATAATTTCCTTGTTTCTGTGGCCTCAGGATTCCTGGTCTGGGTGGAAAGGGCAGCAGCCATTGTTCCCTAATGAGGCTCTGGGTTCTGAGGCTCTGCATCGCCCCCTGGTGGCTGTGAGGTTGTCCGGGGTGAGCTGCACATGGTGAGCACCTACAGGGATGGTTATCCCCAGACACCTCATCCACCTGATCCTGCTCTTTCCAATTTGGTACCAGAGACACACACCACTGTTTAGCGTGAAATATGGGTTGACCCAGTAGAGATGAGCTGTAGTTCTGAAAGATACAGCAGACTTCAAAGACTTAGTATGAACATAATGTAAAATATATCGATTTTTATGTTCCTTCATATTGAATAATATTTTGAACTGATTGAAATTAAATAAATATGTTAAGGAAACTGATTCGACCTGTTTATCCATTTAAATATGAACCCTGGAGAATCTAGGTTCCTGACGGTTTCACACTTCATTTCTGTGGGACGGGGCTGGGCTGCAGCACCATGTCATCCGTCCCCTGCCTGTGAAAGAGGAGAGGGAACTTTCTGGCACCTGAGGAGGTGACAAGTCTCAGCTCTGAGAGCACAATGAGAGACCACGGGACTGTGGTGAAGACCAGGGACTCTGGGCCCAGAACCTTGGTTTGCTACCAGGGTGTCCACTTTCTAGTTCGGACCTCAGACAAAAAGTTCATCCGTTCGTGCCACAGTTACTGCCTCAGTTAAATGGGGTGATGGTGAGAATGCTTCTCTAACACAGGGGCTGATATTAAAGGGTTTGATAAAGATGAAGCATTTGGTGCTTTATACATATAAGCACATATGAGTGTTACTCAACCTTCTTCAGTAACATCCTTGTTTTACTTTTCTGATAGAGCAGACACACTGAAGATAGGAAAATGATGAAAGTTAAGAAAACATAAAAAAATAATGATTTGGGACATTTGACATAGACTACACTTCCCTGCAACACCAAATGCACACAGGGGCACATGGGCCCCCACATGCCCTGCCCTTCCCAGAGGTCACAGAGCCACATACACTCAGTCCCAGGGACCTGATCCTCCTCCTCCTCCAGCCACATCTCAGGGTGTCCCAGCATAGCCAGAGCAGAACTAGTCCACGTTGGTGGAGATCTGTGACATGTGTCATATCACCCTGGTTGTCTAACTAGACTTGGCCCCAGTGCAACTTCAGGTTCTGGGAGGGGAGCCTGGTTCTGCAGAAGCTGCAGCCTGACCTGCACATGTTGGCATCAGTGTGTCTGCTGACCCGTCCACCGAGGGCCGCATGGGTGGTAGGTATGGGCTGAGGGGCTCAGAGCTCAGACTTATGCCACTGGGCAGAGAGAGCAGGGGCACCTCACATGCTCCCTTGGGCACAAGGAGAGGCTCAACAGGGTCCTAGATTCACCATATCAACATGAGCTGAGCTGAGTCAGGAGAACCGAGATCTTAGTTGGAGGAGAAGCAGATCAGGTGGTGTCCTGGGGTCTCCATCAGAACATCAACGACCTCTGAGTCCCTCACTGGAAATAGGTGGTCCTGTCTCACTTCTACCAGACTGGGAAGCTGAGGAGACCACCTTGAGAAAAGGAGGCCACCTTGTCTCATGTCAGAGACTTACTCCCTGTGGTGATATAAGAGAACAATGATGGAGCCTGGCCGTCCTGCACAGAGATGGGCCACTCAGGGGAGGGTCAGGGACCCTCTGGGCCCCCAGTGATGCCTCCTCTGACCTCTGAGGGCTTGTGGTGCACCTCAGACTGTGGGCCTCTTAGGAGGTGGGTAGACACCATCAAGGCAAGGACACTGTTGATGGTTGAATTGGGTGCCCCAAATTCATATGTCGATGCCCTCATCTTCACTACCTCAGGTGGGAGCTGATGGACTTAGGTATGTTGTGGATGTAATTCCTCACAATGAGGTCACATTGGAGTAAGGTGACCCTGATTCATTGGACTGGTGTCATTGAAAAAGGAAGAAATGAGACAGATGCTCACAAGGGAGAGTGTTTTATGAAGAAGGAGACAGAGTCCATTAGCCAAGGTCAGCAGAGATGCCAGCGACCCCCAGAAGCTAGAAGGGAGGCAGGGGGAGACTTTCCTTCACAGCCCACAAACCACCAACCCAGCTGACTAGTGATCTCTCACTGCCAACCTCACATGTGGGTGACAGTAAATCTCTATTGTCACCCCCTCGCCCCAGTGTGTGGTGCATGTAGTCACAGCACCAGCAACTACTAGAGTTCCCGGCAAGGACGCTGTTCTCAGAGCATAAGCAGTAGGCTGGCTCCTTCCAGGTGCTTGTTGCCCAATCTGCTCATGACAGGACCGAGTCTAATGGAGACGAAGGGACGAACGAGACAAGAGCTGTGCTGAGAGCTGCAAAGGGGGCCCTATGGAGTCCGACGAGATGGTTCAGCAAAGGCGTCTCTCTTGGTCTGTGTGTCATGGGGGCCTCTCCGAGGATGGGACTTTTGAACACAACCTTCAAGGAGAACTTGGTGTTGAGTAGACAAGGTTGATCTCCTATGAGGCATGAAAGGCAGGGAGTTGAGACAACCATGGGCTGCAGAGAGGGATCTGTGATGGGGTGGGAGGCACCTCCAGTGCAGGACCCATGGCTCCCTCAGGGTTCTCTAGGTGCAGACCAAGCCTGAGTCCCCCCAGGCAGCAGGCGCTCCCCTCTCAAATCTGCTTCCTGGGTAACATGGGGGTCAGGCCAGTATCAAATGCCTGTTCCCACTACTTCCCTTGGTAACGAGAAAAAAGAGCAGATCTGAACATCTGCACCCCTAGGCTTCCATCCCAGAGTGGGCAGAGAGCAGTAGCTGGAGGCAGGATCAGGGTGACACTTGTGCTCTGTCCCAACAGGACTCTGAGCCACCCAGACAGCACCACACCCATCTCTCAGGAGGTGTCTAGTGGGTGGCTGAGCACACAGACCACAGGCAGAGAGCAGCTTTGTTCTCATGGACACACCTGCCTCGTGGTGGGAGAGAGCAGGGGACCTCATATCTGTGTCTTTGATCATGAAAGGTGTCCCGTATGATGGGAGCTGACAACAGAGCTAAACACAGGGGCAGGATGGTTTGATCTTGCTTTTTCAGCACTAGCACAGAGTGGGAAAGAGCCCCTTCCATACCCCACCTGGGAACCACAAAAATAAACCTTGTGGCTGGGCTGGAGCCCAAAGATGCTCATGGAGGCCAAGTTGCCAGAGTTGGTATCTGAGGTCTGTGAGGTTTGACTCTTGACCTTGCACCTCAGCCATGTTAGGCAGTGGACAGGAGCTGCTGGTATCAGGAGACATGATTATAACCTGCAGTGTCACTGCTGCTTCAGCACAGAATGTGGTCACCATCTGTCCAGGGTCCCCATGAGCTGGGAAGTGGTGATGTCAGCACCACTGATGTCATCAGTGGGCCCCTGATGAGAGGAGAGATGTGGGCAGGGGTGAGGGCAAAGTCAAGACCACTAGGAGCAGCCTGGGAGGGAGGGAGAGCAGGTCCCCTGTGATTCAGTGTCTTCCTGTAGTGACAGGCACTGAGCTGAGAGTAGCAGGTGTACAGGAGTGACGCCACTCCCAGTGTGGTCCTAGGAAGGGGGCAGTCCAGACTCCCGGGCCCACCCTGACCTGCTGCAGCCGCATCGGGGTTTTAGGAGACCCTGGGGGACTTGTGTGCTCATGGAGGTTCCAGAAGCCTTGGTTCAGGTTTCACCATGGAAACTCTCACTTCCTCCTGCTGTGTCCCCAGCTCCTTCCTAGGCCACCTGGGTCTTGGTGCTTAACTGTCCTGCCCTCCTCAGACTGAGTCTGATTCAGGTGCAGGACCCTGTAATGATGTGGAAAAAGTGTTTTACAAAGAGACATTTTTACCAGCCACATGGGGGGCAGTTTGGGGCTGGGGGTGTCCCCATGGGA